CTAAAGGATCATGTGACACTGAAGACTGGAGAAATGATGCTGAAAATTCAGCTTTGATCACAGGAATAAACATTTTAAAATAGAAGATAGAAAGCAGTATTTTAAATTGTAATAATATTTCACAATATTACTGTTTTTACTGTATTTTTGAACAAATAAATGCAACCTTGGTAAGCAGGACATTCAAAAACATAAAAAAAATCTTACAGACCCCAAACTTTTAAATAGTGTAAGTGTATATCTAGATAAATGTCATTTTTAATCACTTTTGTCATCTTGTCCATAGGCTATACACATGCTGGTGACATCCGCTACTGATCTGCAGAGAGACATTGTGGAAAGTGGCCGGGTATGATTTGGTAACAGTGGAAATTTTTGATCGTTTTCATAAATGTTATGTTTTCACACACTCAAACGCAGGGTTTTGTGTGTTTATTGCTTATTTCTGTCAGGGCGCCGGTTCTGTCAAGGACTTCTATGCTAAAAATTCATGTTGGACAGAGGGTCTCATCTCCGCGTCAAAGGCTGTAGGATGGGGTGCAACGCAGATGCTGTGAGTGTGTAGAATATTTAAAGCTTTAACCTGGATTTATTGGTGTCAATCCCTTTAACTATGATTTATTATCTCACAAAGGGAATCTGCTGACAAAGTCGTGACTGACAGAGGCAAATATGAAGAGCTGATCGTCTGCTCTCATGAGATCGCGGCCAGTACAGCACAACTTGTCGCTGCTTCAAAGGTAAAATCCTTCAGACCAATATAAGCGTGCATTTAATCAAATCAAATCTGTTGATTCTGACACATCAATCCTTCATTTAACAGGTAAAGGCAGATCGAGGCAACAAGAAACTCCAAACTTTACAGCAAGCATCCCGACACGTGAATGACATGGCCGCTGTTGTGGTGTCATCTACTAAATCAGGACAAATGCAGATTGAGAACAAGAGTAAGTGTCATGGACACAAATGCAAAAAGCATGAAATACACTTTACGCAAGTAGTGAAGATTGCTATCACCTCAACAACCCCAGAATGCACATTAAAGGAATAGTTCACCTAAAAATTAAACCTAGCTGGAAATTTACTCACCCTCAGACCACATAAGATGAGTTTATTTCTTCATCATATTTGGACAAATTTAGCATGACATCACTTGCTCACCAATGGATCCTCTGCTGTGAATGGGTGCCGTCAGAATGAGAGTCCAAACAGCTGATAAAAACATCACAATAATCCACACCACTCCAGTCCATCAAATAATGTCTTGTGAAGTGAAAAGATTTTTCATAATAAACACGGTTTTAAATTTTAAACTGTTGTTTCCGGCTAGAATACGAGTCCTCTATCCATAATATTGCTTCCTCCAGTGAAAAAGACTTCTCGTCTGAATCAGGAGAGAAATATGCACAGATCAAGCACTGTTTACAAGCGAAAACATATGTGACCCTGGACCACAAAACCAGTCATAAGGGTCAATTTTTCGAAATTGATATTTATACATCATATGAAAGCTGAATAAATAAGCTTTCCATTGATGTATGGTTTGTTATAGGACAATATTTGGCCGAGATACAACTATTTGAAAATCTGGAATCTGAGGGTGCAAAAAAAATCTAAATATTGAGAAAATCGCCTTTAAAGTTGTCCAAATGAAGTTCTTAGCAATGCATATTACTAATCAAAAATTAAGTTTTGATATATTTACAGTAGGAAATTTACAAAATATCTTCATGGAACATGATCTTTATTTAATATCCTAATGATTTTTGGCATAAAAGAAAAATCAATCATTTTGACCCATACAATGTTTTTTTAGCTATTGCTACAAATATACCCCAGCGACTTAAGACTTAAGGTTTTGTGCTCCAGGGTCACATATGTCAGTGGATTTTGATGTGAGAGGACAACAAGAGATAGACTTTCCACCGGAAGAAGCATTTTAATTTCTTTTTAAATAATTTTTCGTCCAGAAGTGATGGTTTAAAGTTAAAACGCCTCAAGTGATGTAATGCAAAATTTTTCCAAATCTGTTCTGATGAAGAAACAAACTCATCTACATCTTGGGTGGTCTGAGGCTGAGTAAATTTTAATCAAATTTTTATATTTGGGTCAACTATTCCTTTGAAGTGTGTCCCCTTTTTTTTTCTCCACAGACTCCATGGACTTTTCCAGCATGTCTCTTATAAAGCTCAAAACAGAAGAAATGGATTCCCAGGTAAGTTTACCAAAGTGAAAAAATGGTAGAGTTTTAGGTATTAAAACACTTTCACACACACAATCTAATCAAATCCCAAAGGATTAAATCAAGTACTCATGTTTGTTGATAGGTGAAGGTGTTAGAGTTGGAGAAGCAGCTGGAAAACGAGCGTATTCGATTGGGAGAACTCAGGAAAAAGCACTACAAAATGGGAGGAATCCCCATGGACTCGCCTCCAGAGAGCGCAGTCAATAGTTTTGACAGTTCACTGCCTACTGTTTTTCCTGACCCGCCCACAATGGAACTGCCCAGTCTGGACACGTTCACACTGGACCTGCCCAGATTCGAACCACTTCGACTGGAGCCCCCCGCACCTGAGCCCGCCAAAACCAGCTCTAAACGAACCTCAATCTTTAATAAATCAGGCAGCATCCTCAAGAATGCAGTAAGTATTCAGAGACACTGTTCGTTTTGGGCCACTTTACCTGTATTTCCAGTAACAATATTTCCCTTTATAATGAAATTTAGATACTAAGTTGTTGTTCTTCTTTTCTTTTTTTTTATCTCCCACAGTTTAGGTGAAATGAGTCTGAGCCCTGGATGCATGAAGAAGAAACCATCAGATAATAATGTACATTATTCAGAAGCACAGCATATTTTCATACTTTTATCACGAGTCTCTAAATCCACCTGCATGCTTTGACAGTACAGTATGGTGTGAATTAAATATTTGAAATTATGCCTTTTAATTTATATGATCATTTAGTGAACTACTACACTGAAATATTTAATCATGCACTTGTTTTTTTTTCTTTTTTGAATTTTTAATAAGAACCAGGCTGAAGTCTTTTTTTGTTAATTAGCACCATCAATTGATGGCTGGTAGTTTATTTGGGATCTTTTAAACACCTTTTACCATTTTAAAGTAAATGTACTTGAAGTTGTAAATGCAAACTGAAGTAAATAAAAAAAGATTAATTATGTTGTGGAAGATATGCACGTGTTTGTTGTTTTTTTTAAACATCTGTATTTTTACAGATGAAATCCATTCAAAAACCACCAAAATACTCCATGAAATCTCGTTTGTAAAAACAAAACTGTACAACTAACTAAACTAAGCAATAATTAATTATACACTATTATAAAATGCTCACAATAGTTTTACATGAAGTATAGTGTGTCAAACTGTCACCGGTTTATACTTTGATCTAATACTTTTACTTGTGTTTACCATCTTATAGCCACAGTTAACCACCCAATAACTGTGGCAAACATCGATATCCTCCAGGCTCTGTAGAGGACATTATATTTTAGTGAATTTCTCTTGACCCTACATGCCACAGTTTTAAGTCTGGATGTCCTGTTCAGAGCACATTCAGGGCTTTTTAGAGATATCCGTTTCAGTATGTTTGGAGGTTTGATCATAAACTCCCTTTCCTTGGTCTTTAAATATGACTGATATGGACAGAATGATCAAATTTAGCACTCAAAGGGAAATATAATGTTTTGTCATTATCATTTAAATCTGGCTAATTTTCGAATTGTTTGTCATAAACATCTCAGAAAAATGTTATGGCCTTTCCTTGGTCTTTAAATATGACTGATATGGACAGAATGATCAAATTTAGCACTCAAAGGGAAATATAATGTTTTGTCATTATCATTTAAATCTGGCTAATTTTCGAATTGTTTGTCATAAATAAACATCTCGGAAAAATGTTATGTTTGGAGCCTGTGATACTTTTTTTTCAGGATTGTTTGATGAATAAAAAGCCATTACAAGAACAGCATTTATTCAAAATAGAAATCTTTTCTAACAGTATAAGTCTGAATGTATAGTGCTTTTTTTTCTACTTTTACTGTGCATGAACATATGTTCATTATTTTAATGTGGCTGAAGTTGTTTGCCAAAGGTGTTTCAGAACAAAGCAGTGCATGCAAGGGAATTTCTAAGTTCCTGTCTGGGACAGGAAATGATGTAATCACAACCACAGTCCATTCATTATCATTTAAATCTGGCTAATTTTCGAATTGTTTGTCATAAACATCTCAGAAAAATGTTATGGGGTTTCAAATCGGATTATGACTTTTTGTTAAGAAACGGGGCATCATTTTCATACATGTCTTCTGTAGAGGACACCAGGACAAACATCATGTTAATCAGGGATTTGGGGGAAACACAAGAAGTCAATAGGAAAAGAAATTATAGATCAATATTCCTATGAAATATGAGATATTCGTATGATAATGTTATTACACTTTTCTTTTAATTGTTTCATTTTGGTTTGCCCGATGAACACATTAATATGCAAATTAGATGCAATGTATAGATCCATTGTATCCAGTGGGAATACCAGTTTATAGACATTTTACGCACATATTCCATAAAGTACAGTACTATATAAAATCATTCTGTTAGAATTTTCATAACATATTTGAGAATCATCTTTGTACAAAGCTTGGCTAAAAATAGCCTGAAACCTAAAAATTGATTGGTGAATGATAAAAAAATAAAACATTGTTTTTGCCTATACATGCCTTTTCATGTCAAAAAAATATTTTTTATTTTTTTTATTTTTTATTTTTTTATAACTTAGTCCTGGCGTCCTCTACAAAGGGCATAGAATAAAATATTAATAAAATATATATTTTTTCAAAACTGTTTTTTCTCAATTTGTTTCTTATGCTCCAACCAATGTAATGACATAAAAACTGTTTTTCTGGTTCTCAGGAGGATATGACCGATGGTCAGTGTGGCGCCTGACAGTGATTTCACAGCGCTGTGCGCATGCGCGGTACATGAAGCGCCTCTGTGAGGAATAAATAAGGGCAGGGAAACTGAGCCGCAATGGGACAACTCTTATTTCGGTCCAATTCGGCCTAAAAATATGGCTTTTATCCTTGACGGGGTGTCATCGGAAGGTTTTTAGAGGGCGTTGGGGATCTGTTTGGATATTGAAAGGGACTGAGAAAGTTTGGAAGGAAACGAACTTGAGACGGTCATGGAGGATTTCGGTTCGGCGCTGGAGAAGAACGCGGCGGATCTGACCGTGATGGACGTCTACGACATCGCCGCGGTGGTGGGCCAGGAGTTCGAGCGCATTATCGATCAGTACGGATGCGAGGCTCTGTCCCGCCTCATGCCCAAAGTGGTCCGGGTGCTGGAGATCCTGGAGGTCCTGGTGAGCCGCAACAGCATCAGCCCAGAGACCGAGGAGCTGCGCCTGGAGCTGGACCGGCTCCGACTGGAGCGGATGGACCGGATGGAGAAGGAGAGGAAACATAAGAAGGTGCTTTTATAGACTAGAATATCTATTTACCTGATCTAAATAGCCAGCTCGTTCATTTAACTCTGTTTTATTGACACTGATAGTCAGAATTAAAGAGACAGGTGACTTGTCTGTGAAGTCACAACATATGTGCACAAGTATTTTAGGTATAAAAGTAAACATTAATTTATAAATGTTTTGTATTCGTGTTCAATTAAACAATTTTAATATATATATATATATGTATGTGTAGATATTGTAATGTTATGTTATATATAAAACTATAAATGCATTCAATAATAATTATAATAAAGTGTATAAATAACATTTTTATTTTAAATATTTTTTGGAGCCTGTGATACTTTTTTTTCAGGATTGTTTGATGAATAAAAAGCCATTACAAGAACAGCATTTATTCAAAATAGAAATCTTTTCTAACAGTATAAGTCTGAATGTATAGTGCTTTTTTTTCTACTTTTACTGTGCATGAACATATGTTCATTATTTTAATGTGGCTGAAGTTGTTTGCCAAAGGTGTTTCAGAACAAAGCAGTGCATGCAAGGGAATTTCTAAGTTCCTGTCTGGGACAGGAAGTGATGTAATCACAACCACAGTCCATCATCATCATCATCATCATCAGTGAGCAGATATGCGACAAATCTAAATCTCATGAGGCTGATGTAAAACATACTGTGGTAGTACTACAATACAGTGTGGGGTCAGATGTTACAGTGCTAATACTGTAACACCTTGATGTTTACTAAAGGATTGCAATATTCATATATTTTATTTACAAATAAAATACTATGGTATTACCGTAGTACATGCCCAGGGTACTGTAGCACATAAGAGTCTCACATAAATGTAAGAATATGGTAAAAACTTGAATATGTGAATTTGAGCAGAGTTATGAATACGACTTTTGTCTGTGTCCTTCTCTGAAAATGTTAATGTGGTCCTGCTTTGTGTGTTTTTACTGATTGTTTCAGACGTTACGTAACTCCAGTGAAGGTCAGCGGTTAAATATACACTCATGTATGTTTTATGAGCCGCTTCTGAAAAGTGTGTGTGGTTGTGAACAGGAGCTGGAGCTGGTGGAGGATGTGTGGAGAGGAGAAGCCCAGGATCTGCTGTCCCAGATCACACAGCTGCAGGAGGAAAACAAAACACTGCTCAACAACCTGTCCGTCAAAGAGTGTCCGATGACAGAAGAGGATATACAGAAACAGGAAGGTAGTGTTGAAGCTCAGGGTTTGGAAAAAGAGAGCTTTGCTTCAGTCTTTTACACTCTCTGGAATACTATATCCCACAATGCACTGCGCTTCACCTTCCGTTTCCAATGTGATGGAATACAACTTTATTTGACAGCCAAAACAATATATTTTCACAAAATAGTTTTAAAAGCACAAAATAACAAGTCTTACTACACTCTTTCACAAATGAAGGCTTTAAAAGGTCTTAAATCATAATGTTATGGCATTAAATGTTGCATGCATTGCCAAAAATTCATGTATCTAAACATCCTTAAATCAAGATACACTTACTTGAGATGCAAAATGAAGATATAAAGTCAAAATTAAGTGAGTTTATGCTTCAAATAAGAACAAATGTCTGTTAATGAAGTATGGCTTGTTCCCTTTGAATGAAGTAGATTTTTCTGAGCCCATAAACTCACTTTGATCATTTTGATTTTGATCAGTTTCACAGTAGGGCTGTCAAAATGGCTGAAAAACTAAATTTGAATTTTGTACTTAAATATTATTAAAATTCGAATCATATTCAAATTTAAAATGCATCATTTCAGTTAGGGTGAAGAAAAGCTTTTGGCTTCTCTCCTGAGGCCACAAGAGGGCACATCGAGCAAAATATTACTAATGCACGTTTATTCAAAGTGCCTAATGTTAAAATAATGTTTATAAACCAATTATAATTAATTAAGTTGCTTAAACAACTATAAACAAAACAGCATCATGTATGTATGCATAGTTTAATTCAAAGGACCGAAATCACACAGAGTACATTTTTCATTTAAAAACACGAGTTGCAGTGGGGTGGTGAAAAAACCCGCCATAAAGTCTCGAGATATGTTTTTTCAAAGTTAAACTTGCATTAATTTTACATAGCTTTCTTTTGTGCGAGATGCGAGTGCAATGGTGATAGATGTCCCTCTAGAAAATGCGCGAAATATGCTTTCTGTGTAAACGGCTTGGTTTTAGTTTTGACGTAAACAAGATCTTCTCTGCATTGTTTCATATTTTTTAATGAACAACGCAGCAGTACCGCATCTAGTGTGTTCAACTGGATAGGCTAACAAAAATATTATAATGCATTGACTCCTACATCGTCATCGTCATCGCATCTCGTGCGCCGCTGATAAGGCTGTCTGACGCACACCTAAAATTTGAATGCAACATTTTTGCATTCGAATGTGGATTTTTATTTTAAATTTGACAAATATTCGAAATTCAAATTTTTTTTGACAGCCCTATTTCACAGTAAACAAGACTTCTTATCTGATGTCATTTTGCTTCTCAAGTAAATTAATCTTGATTTAAGAATCTTTAAACTTTTGTACTGGAAAACAAGAGGCCGAACAGCACTTTTTGTAGTTTCATCAGAAGGTAAGCTTCTGAAAAGTTATTTTTATATACTACTTAAGCTACTTAAAAAAAATAAATAAATAAATATTTAAACATAATGGAGAATTTTATTTACTTAGTCTTAAAAAGGTCTTAAAAAGACTTCAAGGGACTTTCATAAAACCAGCAGAAGTACCATGATAATTGGACGTCACTCACATGCAACATACTGAGGTCATGTGACAACAACTTAGCATACTATGAAGGGCTACTGTTTGTTTCATTTACCATTTTTATATACTGCACAGTGTGCACTAGGTAAGCTTTCCCAGCATGCCTGTTCCAGATACAAAAACACGTGATCATGCCCATAGGAATTCTTACACATTCTTTCAGCCATTTAGGAACTGACACAAACTCCACACAAAGCGACCCTTCTCCGTGTGACTGAAGACGAGCCAGTGCACATTACTGCATGAGCAGCACAGAGACTCCACAGTGCCTCTGACACACTCACGTGCCCTCACCTAACCGTCAGAACAGTCTCCCTCTCAGTCCAGCTGGACGAGTCTGATTCAGTGTCAAACGCAGCGCAGCTGTTTACACAAACATTCCAGTGCCGCTCTCAACACTGATTTAAAGATATAAAGAGCTGTTTAAATTGAATGCAGGAAATTGCTTAATGCACATGGATATGCTGGTGATTCCAAAAAATGTTCTGACAATATATATATATATATATATATATATATATATATATCCTCTAGCCTCTCTCTATATATAAACGTGCATATTTTTATCAATTTACTCTTTAACTTATCAGACTTGTATGTCAGACTGCCCTGTATATATAATTTATAACTTATTGATAATACATTCATTATTTTAATATTTTATTATCAAATGCTAAACATATTAATATTATATATATTTGCATATTAGTATATATGCAGTGCAAATAAACTTATTTCTAGGTCATGACTAACGTGAAGTGTGTCAGTGGTTGTGTGTCAGATTCTCTGCACGGACACACATCTATTTTAAGAGCAGCAACATGGGCGCTCAGTCAGGAAATGATTTGCTTACAGTGTCTGTCAGACGTCTTGCGTCTGTCCTTATTTCCAGTGACCTGATCCATGCAAAACAAAACACCACCCTGAAACTTCCTGCAACTAGTGAACTAGTGATCAAATATGTTATTAATGTAACATGCGTGATAGTTTTGATATTTTCTTGAATGTCGGTTCTCAGTGTGATAAATGAGGTTGCTTGTGCTGATTTTTGTTTTTATTTGTGATGCCAGGCATGACTGAGAGGGAACGGCAGGTGATGAAGAAGCTGAAGGAAGTTGTAGATAAACAGCGAGATGAGATCCGTGCCAAAGACCGTGAACTGACACTCAAAAACGAGGACATTGAAGCGGTAAAGAGCCGTGTTCTTGCCGAGCAAATTCAATTGTTAGCAGCAGTCAATGCACTGATGTAAATACAAGACATAAAGTTGCCAAAGTCTTCTATTTTTTGCTGGGAAAAAATTATAACATCATAGCCTAAACATCCAATGAAATCACAGTGGATAAAAACAAGTGCATAATGTGCAGTTTCACTCTGAAATTCATCATATTGTGGATGTTTAATGTGTCACAAATGGCGTTTCTTCCAGCTCCAGCAGCAGTTGAACCGGCTGATGAAGATCAACCATGACCTGAGGCATAAGATCACGGTGGTGGAGGCCCAGGGTAAAGCGCTGATCGAGCAGAAGGTGGAGCTGGAGGCGTCTGGTCAGGCGCGGCAGCAGGAGATGGGTAACCTGCGACAGGAAGTGGTCCGTCTTAAGGAGCGCCTTAAAGAGCAGGGCAAGACCAGCGCTGAGACGGAGGAGCCTGTAGGACCACCTTCACCTGCACAGGTACATGAATGTAGATGGGTGCTGCAGTGAATCTGTCGGTTTTCACACATGTTTAGCAGCTCATAAACTCTCTGCTAAATGGGTTATGAACTGAAAATTCCCATTGCTTAAATCCAATGCATTGAGACACCTCAGTGTTCAACTGCAGCATTCAGTCATCTCTATTTCTATTTAAAGGAAGTAAGTGTCAGGATCTTCACATGGTGTCCATAATGAGTCAGAATGAAACATCAATGAGTCACAGTCTCAGAGGAAACTAAGATGAGAATAAAAATCAGTGCACAGTGTATATGCTTTTGTATGTAAGTTGCAAATATGTATTAATTTGTGAAATTTTGGGACTTTTGGGATTCAGTGCAGTGCACACATTTACTTCGTTTAATATTTAAATGGCTTATTTGTCAGTAAAGACCAATGGCATGGTATATTTGTTCAAAATTATTTGTATTAGTCTTTGTATGATTTAATTTAATTATTATAAAAACTTACCACCTTAATATAAAATATCAAATGTGAGTGTTGGCCTAGTGGCTTTGCAGTTTGAGTGCACTATATTTATTTACACTACCTTTCAAAAGTGTTTTTTAAATTTTTTTAATAGCTTAATACTTTTATTCAGTAAGGATGCGAATTAAGCAGCACAACAGTTTTCAACATTGATAATCAGAAATGTTTCTTGAGCAGCAAATCAACATATTAGAATGATTTCTGAAGATCATGTGACACTGAAGACTGGAGGAATGATGCTGAAAATTCAGCTTTGATCACAGGAATAAATTATATTTTAAAATATATTCAAATAGAAAACAGTTATTTTAAATGTTAATAATATTTCACAATATCTTCCTGTACTTTTGATTCAATAAATGCAACCTTGATGAGACGTCTTTCAAAAACAAAACAAAAATCTCACCGACCCCAAACTTTTGAACGGTAGTGTATAGATTCATAGGATAATTTAGCCTAATCAAATTCAAAATTTAAGATTAATCACATAACGGCAAAAAAAAAAAAAACATGAATAATGATAGTAGTTATATTTTTTGCCATAATTTTATGTAGCATGAAAAAAATATATTATTATAATTTTTTTTTAAAAGAAGCAACTCCTTGCCGAAAATTATGCCAATTGTGTTTTTAAAACTTTGATTTTGTGCCATTTTGTTCAGTTGTTTATTTTGAACGATTCACTCAGACAAACACTCCCGATAAAATGTTGGTTGCAATTTGCAATCCACATGTTTGTGTTCAGATATGCATCTCAGAAACGGATTTAACATCATCCGCTGCTCAATATACAGCATTAAATTAAGATAAACAAAGTTTGGTTCTACACCAGAAACAAACTATCTATAATGCTTACAAAAATAGGCTACATCCTAAAATATAATTAGAAGTACAATTAGCATCAAGCTACACTTGAAAATGTATGCAATTATTAATGTATTTGCTTACCCACTTTAAACCACCATTGAGTGCTTGTAATCACTTCCGATTGTGATCTATAGTTAATTTTGATTAATAAGCATAATGCACATAAAACGGACGGTGCTCTGCAGATCACATAATTCAGTGGACAATTAATAGAAATGTTATTCTGTATAAAGAACATGTGTGAATAAATCTGTTCTCAAATACTAACGATAACAAGAACTCAGCATCCACTCTCTTCTGTCCTCTATCCGGGATGCTCTTCTTTGATGTTTGTTTACACTGGTTTTCGAAACAGCGCCACCACTGTCACCCTTTTGTGCAATAGCAGCTGCTCCGGTCACGTGATCCTAGCTCAAATCTTATTGGACGGCCCATGATTTCGCTTTGTGTAACTGAAAAGATTTGTCGGACTGGTTCAAAAAATAATAAATGTGCATTTTCGGTTGCGCAAATGTTCGCGGTCTATGTGGAAGCATCCATAGAAATCTATTGTTGCAAAAGCACCAAAAGTTGGTTAAATGAGCATGGTGTTGGTGAGCTTGACTGGCCAGCAAACTCACCAGACCTGAACCCCATAGAGAATCTATGAGGTATTGTCAAGAGGAAAATGAGAAACAAGAGACCAACAAATACAGATGAACTGAAGGCCACTGTTAAAGAAACCTGGGCTTCCATACCACCTCAGCAGTGTCACAAACTGATCACCTCCATGCCACGCCGAATTGAGGCAGTAATTAAAGCAAAAGGAGCCCCTACCAAGTATTGAGTACATGTACAGTAAATGAACATACTTTCCAGAAGGCCAACAATTCACTAAAAATGTTTTTTTTATTGGTCTTATGAAGTATTCTAATTAGTTGAGATAGTGAATTGGTGGGTTTTTGTTAAATGTGAGCCAAAATCATCACAATTAAAAGAACCAAAGACTTAAACTACTTCAGTCTGTGTGCAATTAATTTATTTAATACACAAGTTTGACAATTTGAGTTGAATTACTGAAACAAATGAACTTTTCCACGACATTCTAATTTATTGAGATGCACCTGTATACATGTATACATATACATACATACATATTAGGGCTGTCAGTCGATTCAAATTGTTAATCTAATTAATTACATGATGTGGCGATTAATTAATTGAATTAATTGTAAATTACATTTGGCTGTGAAAATACCCCCAGAAGATAATTTAAAGCCATTATTGTGTTAAATGAGAAAAATATCAAGTAGATATTACAAAAAGTGGCTTTAGAAAATGTATTACACATAAATGTTTAAGCTACAATTGCCTAACATAAACTATGGAACGTAAAAGAAGATAATTTGAGAAACATCAGTATTTTTGGTTCATACAATGAAAGCCATTGGTAAACAACAAAAATGAGCAAAAACAGATAGTATTGTAGCCTATCAAAAACACAATATTAACTTCTTATTTACTGAACTGTTGTATAAAATCACATTTGCACTCGTGCTATTCGGGACAAAAACAGCACTCGTGTGATATTGCTCCCGCTGCTCATGATATCGCTTATCATAAGATATCAATATGATACAAAAACTCATATAGCGGCATTTTTTGCCCCAATATCTTACATTTTAAGGGCATATAACTGCATTTTATAGACTACATGATGCAGTGAGTTGTTGCCCTGCATCAAATTTGTCAACAGTTAACTGTATGAAATGTAAGATGACCTACAGGTCTGGGGCTGGTGAGTTAATTGCGTTAAAAGTTTTTAATCGTGTTATTCTTCCTTAACTAATTGATAAATTAGCGCGCTAAAACGAAAAGCCCAATATATATGTATTGCTAACTTATTTTTTAATCACATTTACAGTGACGAACAGGAGGAGGAAACAGGCCCACCACTGCCAGACCCCTCTCCTACATTTCGGCCAAGCTCACGCTCCAACTTTCAGCCCGAGTCAGGGATAAAACGACTGTGCGTACTGCTACAAGAGCTAAAGATGTACACACACCTGCACACACTTATATTACAAACTTCAATCTTATAAATCAGCATCATTTTGCTCCTTCGTGTTTGGAACAACCTTTGCGTTAGGAGCACAAATGTGATGCCCAAGAATGTTAACATTGATTTCTGATTTAGAAATGTTTACAAATTGTTGCATTTATTCAAAGCGACTTGCATTGCAGTCAAAGTATACATTTTATCAGCTCATGCATTTCCCTGGGAATTGAACCCATGACATGCTGTTTGAGCTGAAGAATCACAAGACCATTAAAAACGGTTACACATTCACTAAACTGCAGCTTGACAGACACATTTAGAGTTTTATGACATGTTATATGACACATGTTGGCATCCATATACCCTTGTTTTACATGTTTTACAAAAATCTTAAGGCATGACCATCATTAATGCTGCCATATGCATCTGCCATCTGAAATGCTGAAGACTAGGATGTGACCATGCGTTAGGAGCACAAATGTGATGCCCAAGAATGTTAACATTGATTTCTGATTTAGAAATGTTTACAAATTGTTGCATTTATTCAAAGCGACTTGCATTGCAGTCAAAGTATACATTTTATCAGCTCATGCATTTCCCTGGGAATTGAACCCATGACATGCTGTTTGAGCTGAAGAATCACAAGACCATTAAAAACGGTTACACATTCACTAAACTGCAGCTTGACAGACATATTTAGAGTTTTATGACATGTTATATGACACATGTTGGCATCCATGTACCCTTGTTTTACTAAAATCTTAAGGCATGACCATCATTAATGCTGCCATATGCATCTGCCATCTGAAATGCTGAAGACTAGGATGTGACCAGATGAAGCAGAATGATGCTACAGGTGGTTCTGGGTGTATCTTCTCTTTGCTCAACTCTCCATATCTGTGCCTTTTTGTAACAGGATCTTCACAGCCATTATGCCGATGGTGGCGGCTGGGTTGATTCCAGATGACCCCACTTTACAGCCAATCAGACGACTTATTTCCCTTGTACGACCTTTTGGTGGTTCACCTCTGTGTTCTTTGCTGTTTTAACACTTTATCCTCCCTGCATGTGATGGCACATTCTGATTGGCTGATTGTGGGGCTATCTGTGCGACCAATCAGCAGGAGGATCGTTAGAATCAGCCAGTCAGAATCAAAGTACCGCTCACTCCTCTAACACTAGTGCTGTGCTGTAACTACTATATAACACTGAGTCTGTATATTGCCAACTAAAGGAGTGCTTTATAGAGGTGTAGGGAGATTAAACGCTTGATTATCACTGCTTGTGTGAGCTGAAATGTGTCAAGCAAGAGCACAAATACACAGCAGATATTTGTTAGATGCTTTTTGTAAATTTATATCTGGAAAGACCGTAGTGAGACTGTAGGGATGAGGTTATGGTACAGTAGGTTGAAATGCGTAGCTCATATTTCATGCCAAAATTGAAAGAAATTATATATATATATATATATATATATACATATACATGTAAAGATTTTTTAAATATACACATGTATGTTTGTGTATTTATATATACATAATAAATGTATATATATATATTAACTTTTATGTATATACACATTTTTGTACCGTGTTGAAATCAATTATTTTATTTGTCATTTTTAATTTTGATTTTATATTAGAAAAAAATTTCCAGATGTAATGTAAATATGAGTAGCAAACTGTTTGTCATGGACATAATGCAACAAAAATCATAACACTCTTATTTTTGTTATTGACTTTTTTTTTTTATCCATTCTGATTTTATAATAGAAAAAAATATTTTATATGAAGAAAAAAAATTCCAGACCTTTTTTTTGCATTACATGAAATTAATGCAAACATTTTTTTTTAATAGAATTCTTGTTTTTTTTATTCTGATTTTGATATGAAATATGATTTCTTCATGCAGTGTAGCCATAAACCGACTGTGCTTTTTTTATCAATAGAAAATTACACTTGAAAAGTTCTTGAGTACATAAAAGCAACATAATAAACAACACAACCCCAAAACATTTCTGAAACATTCTAGGTTATTAAACATAATTTACAGACACATTCATGCTTGACAATGCAATCCAGTTGTGCTGACGCCCTGTGTTACGTTCACAGGTTTAGCTTCTTTTCCCGCGACAAAAACCGAGGCTCTCAGGGGAGGATGCCGCAGATGGGTGACAGCTTCGGCTCGTGGGCGGGGAAACAGGACGTGTACACAGAACAGGCCCAGGAGGCATTACAACACATGTAACGAACACAACGCTCCACTAACCGCTAACCTGCACCATGTGACCGTATGCCACGTTTGCGCTCCCTTTCATGGTCACTTTCACAGCACTACGTCTGCAAGCAGATGAGACAAGAGCTCACAAAGGGAACATGGGGGACGGGGCCGTTTAGAGTTACTGATAGATTGTGGCCCTCGCCTTCACCCAAAGATACTGTGAGGGAGTTTTATGTGCCTATTTTGTTAGATAGACATTTTATTGCTATTGCAAACGACTAGTTACTGTAAGTAGATGACGCAGACAAATAGATTTCAGACATTATTCTGATGACGTTTAAAGAGAAGGTGCCTTCAGTAGATAAGATACATATCTATTTTTAATTCAAATTGAATTATGAGTGAGAAGAATTATGCACGTGGCTGAAGAAAAAATTAGGGATTTAAATTTTTAGTTGCTACGCCCAGGCCAGAGATTGTCTGAAAAGAATGGTGGCATTATATGTTGAATTATGTTTTTTTGAAATTGCACAGTAGCCTGATTTTTTTTGGCACACTGAAATATTGAGAATTTAAAGGAATATCAAGTATTCAGAATTTCATTTCTATTGACATCTTTCATGACATGCTGTCGGTTATCACAGAAAATAATTTTAACTTGTCCCTCATTTTGTAACAACAATCAGACATTGGATTTACAGTAATGCACTTAATATGGAGGTGTATGGGGCAAAACATTAAAATCAGAAATGTGCCTCTCTCTTATATTTATTCTTATGTTCAAAAATGTGGGAAGAGGTTACTATACCATGCAAAGATCACCAAGGCTGCATTTATTTGATCAAAAATGCAGTAAAACAGTAATATTGTGAAATTTTATTACCATTTAAAATGTTTGATTTTAAAATATAATTTATATCTGTGATCAAAGCTGAATTTTCAGCATCATTCCTCCAGTCTTCAGTGTCACATGATCTTCAGAAATCATTCTAATATGCTGATTTACTGCTCAAGAAACATTTCTGATTAGCATCAATGTTGAAAACAGCTGTGTTGCTTCATACTTTTTGTGCTATTTTTCTGAATTCTTTGACGAATAGAAAGTTCAAAAGAACATTTGAAATCAAAATCTTTTATAACATAAATGTCTTTACACTTTTGATTAATTGAATGCATCCTTGCTGGATAAAAGTATTAATTTCCTTTAAAAAAAATCTGGCTGACACCAAACTTTTGAACGGTTGTGTACTACTTTTCGAAACCGTGTATTTGATCATTTCTCCCATAGCAGTGCCCCATATACTTCTATTGTACATGCATTATCACACACTGAGTAGCAAGTCAAATTCATTTTCTGTGGCAATTGACAGCAAGTCACAGGTTCTGAATTAAGTCTTTAAAACTTGGAATCATGAAACAAAGCTTTACACACCTCAAGTGTTTCTGCAGCACATTAAAGCGGAACAATATTAATAATCCATAGTTTACTATTGGCATCTGAAGTATCTATCACATGGACAAATGTCATTCACCAGCAGTTTTGCATTGCTTAAACGGTGCGTTAACTGGCAATAATAGAAATGTTGAGTAAAAGCATGGAAATGCGTGCCTATGTTAAAGTGTGTTGATAAAGGCAGCTTTGTAAGCTAGAAAAATACATGCCTTTGGGCCTTAATTCAATTGTTGAACAGCTAGTACGTCACTCAACTGAGAATGATATCCAGCAACAAGAACTGGATCAAATATATCGTTATGAAGGATTATGCATAACTCATCTCATTGTGTATTAAACTATTTTATACCATGTATTGTGAGAAATCTTGAGTCATTGAAACGCTATTCGTATGGCAAATTATTTGTTCTTTAGTACAAATCTAATTACTGAAATTAAAATTTAAAGGGATGCATGAACATTTTGTCATTGTTTACTTAGCTTAATGTCATTCCATTTTGTGAGTAGATAATGGCAGCATTTAAATGTTTGAATAAACTTATTTCAAACTAAATTCACTTGTGGAAAACAAAAATTAGGTTACTTACACTACCATTCAAAAGATGTTTCTTCAGCTCTCCAAGGCTGCATTTATTTGATCTTAAATACAGTAAAACTGTTATAATGTGAAATATTACAATTTTAAATAACTTTTTTTATTGGATATATACTGTATATTGAAATGTAATTTATTCCTGTGATGCGCAGCTGGATTTTCAGCATCATTCCTCCAGTCTTCAGTGTCACATGATCCTTCAGAAATCATTCTAATATTCTGATTTGCTGCTCAAGAAACATTTCTTATTATTATCAATGTTAAAAAAACAGTTGTGCTGCTTCATATTTTTGTGGAAACCACAATTCTTTGATGAATAGAAAGTTCAAAAGAACAGCATTTATTTGAAATGGAGTAGAAACATGAATATCTTTACTGTCACTTTTGATCAATTTAATGCATCCTTGCTGTTTATTCAGTAATAATTTCTTAAGGGAAAAAAAATCTTACCAACCTTAAACTTTATTGTTTGGATAAACTTTTATTTCAAACTAAATCCACATCAGTGGGAAAAAATCTAGAATAAGAAAAGAAAGTCTTGTATGCAAAGCTTCATTCTCGGTCTCTGTAAGAGACTCTGTATCGTCTGTCTTCCTTTCTGTTGAAGTCTCTCTCTCGGCTTCGGTCCCGGTGGGGTTTCGAGTCTCTTTTCTCTTTGTAATAACCTCTATCATTCCCTCGATCCCAGTCGCTTTTCTTCTCCCGCCATCGTCCGTGTTCCCTATCTTGTTCTTGGTCTTTTTGCCTTTCCTCCCTCCCACTCGATGCATCCCATCTATCCGCTGATCTATTCTGGGGCATCATGGATGTCAGATTGATGGGCTTCCGGAAAGGTCTATCCCTGCCTCCAAACCTCAGCTGACCGGACTCCTTTTTGCCCCCCTGGCCTCCTCCGAGTCGCCGTGGAATCCAGCCTTGGAGCGTCCGCTCTTGTTCGAAGTCCACGAAGAGCTCGTATTGGTCCACCACCAGCTTGTTGGCATCTCTCCAGGCTCTCTTCACCGAACGCTCCTCTTTGTATTCAACGAAAGCGTAACGCTTGGAGAAACCCGTCACGATGTCCCGGACCAGACGTACCCTGCGGATGTGTCCAAACTTGGAGAAGACTTCCTGGAGCTTGTCCTCAGATGTCTGTGGATTCAGGCACGCCACAAACAAGGTTAGGTGAGGGTCACCGGTCACACCCTTGTTAGGCTGGTAGCGGGCCATCATGGCCCTCCAGACGGCTTTGTCGTGGGGCTCCAAATCTGTGCCATCGATGCTGCCCGCTTTGAGAGGGTCGTAAACCTTCGCCACAGGACTCCACTCGCTCATCATCTGACAGTGGAGAGTTATAGTTAGAATTTATAGATTACATTTTAGAATTCATGCAATAATTTATGCAAAATCCAGTTTCTAATAAAAAAACTATTTAAAATAATATTTTTTTTATTTAAAGGTTTCTAGATTACAATTTAAAATAATTTATGCAATCGATGTATGCAATCCAGTTCCTAAAGAAATAGTTAACTCAAAAATTAGAATAATCCTTCTATGTAAAAGTTTGTAGAGGCTGTACAATAATTTGTGACTCATGCAAAATAGTTCCTGAACTATTAGTTAATTATAAGCTCCTGAAGAAAGTTCAGGAAAAAGGACGAGTATCATAAAAATAAATATATAAAATGTATATGATTTTAATGTGAAATCCAGTTCCTAAAGAAATAGTTAATTCAAAAAAGACTTTTTATAAAATTAAACCATTTATAAGATGTGTATGATTTTTTTAAAAATTGTTACATTTAAAAAAAATCTTAGATTACATTTAGAATAAGTTATGCAATAAGTAATGCAAAAAAAAAGTTGTTAAAAAAAAGAAGAAAAAAAAAAAGTGTTAACTCAAAAATGAATATACTTTTATTATATATTCATCCTCACAACTCTTCTCTGGACCACATGACCTAAATTTCTTTCCGATCCTCACAAATGTGTAATATAGCGCACGAGTCGTATGCACTGATTGCTTATACAGGTACATCTCAAAAAATTAGAATATCATGAAAAAGGTTAATATTTTTTGTCACTCATTTCAGAAAGTGAAACCCATATATTATATAGATTCATTACACAGAGTGAAATATTTCAAGCCTTTATTTCTTGAAATGTTGATGATTATGGCTTACAGATAATGAAATCCCAAAATTCAGTGTCTCAGAAAATTAGAATGATACATAAGATTAGTAATCAATAAAAAAAAAAGGATATTTTAAACAGAAATGTCAGGCTTCTGAAAAGTATGTTCATTTCTATGTACTCAATACTTGGTTGGGCCTCCTTTTGCATGAATTACTGCTGGTGCACCTTTTCCTACCACACTTTTTCCTTCCACTCAACTTTCTATGAATATGCTTGGATACAGCACTCTGTGAACAGCCAGCTTCTTTGGCAATGAATGTTTGTGGCTTACCCTCCTTGTGAAGGGTGTCAATGACTGTCTTCTGGACATCTGTCAAGTCAGCAGTCTTCCCCATGATTGTGTAGTCTAGTGACCCAAACTGAGAGACTATTTAAAGGCTCAGGAAACCTTTGCAGGTGTTTAGAGGTAATTAGCTGATTAGGGTGTGACACCATGACTTTCCAATATTTAACTTTTTCACAATATTCTAATTTTCTGAGACACTGAATTTTGGGTTTTCATTATCTGTAAGCCATAATCATCAAAATTTCAAGAAATAAAGGCTTGAAATATTCCACTCCGTGTAATGACTCTATATAATATATGGGTTTCACTTTCTGAAATGAGTGACACAAAATATTGACCTTTTTCATGATATTCTAATTTTTTTAGATGTACCTGTACATACAGCTTGACAGCTTTTGGTAACTATGAACGGTATGTCATTGGTTGGAAACCTCTTATGGAAAGAAATAACGACATACCGGTTTGGGTGAGTAAATAATAACACAATTTTGATTCCTGTGTGAATTATTACATTAATCATAGCGTGGGGTCCAAAGATAGAACTAGGGAAAACCCTCGTATTTGCATTTGAGAATGTCTTAGTGTTTGGTTTCTTATTTGCACTGGAGCTGACAAGAACAACGCTAGCGGATATTATCCAGTCATTTAAAATCGAATATGGTTTACAGTTTTATAGTTTACAACTCATAGACATATCCTTTCGATGCATATTCTGATTTTTTTTATTTTTTATAAAAAATCTCAGACATGTAATTTCCATAGTACAACAATGTAAAAGCCACTGTATAAGGGTAAAAGCATGTAAACAAACCTTGTGTGCGCGTCGTCAAACTGTCCGTGTGGAAACTCTGGCTGAGCTCTTCGACGGGCCGTCATCCGGTTTCCCGCGCAATCACTCACACGTGTGTTTAAATAATCGATTTAAAAATCGCATAAAAAGAACACACTGAAAATATGTAATAAAAAATACAAAATTTAGAAATTGATGACGTGAAATGGAGATTCTGAAACATTCTGCTCACTAATTAAATCATGCTGAGAACATGATTATCAGGTTTTGATAAAGTCAGCTTGAGTGCATATATATATATATAAAAATAAAAACATATATATACACACACATGCACACACTACTGTGCAAGTCTTAGGCCACTAGTATTTTCACCAACAAAAAAATGGTTCTCTGCGTGGAGCACTGGCTGTCGTCAGACAAAAATCTCACTAGATTTTTACAATTAATGGCAAAATAAATGTTTGTAAATGTAAACTGATTTTTCCTACTGACACACTACAGCAAAAGATAGAAATAACAGATTTAAAATAATTTTTTGTTGGTGAAAATACTAGTGGTCTAAGACATTTGCA